ATGAAATGGGGTTTAACGTCCTACTGTTCTGCTCCGAACTGAGCTAATGAAGACAGGCATACGTTATACGGTATTGCTATGAGGGAAATTTTGTACTACGGCCTATTCTTGTATCGAATTTCAACTGTCAAGGGATCTTTTACATGCACACCAATGTGTACCAGGACCTCGGTTTTCCTTCCCATCCGAACAACTATATTGTATATCAATTTACAAATATCTCCCATATTTTACAATAGTTTACAAAGGTCTCCAATTTTTACTGCTACATGTAGTTATTGCTTTGGTTTAAACAATATTAATTCACTGAATATCAAATATACCACGACAATTATAAATGATATGATACAGAAATAAATTAGTTTCGTATATATATCTACATTTCTAGAATCTATTCTTGTAGACGATATATAATGATGATATTTCAAGAATATATTGATACAGTCGAGATATCATATTTATTTAAAAGCAAGTGTTTCATGATGGGAATAAAAATCAAACCAACAGTACAAAGAAAGAGAGAGAGAGAGAGAGAGAGAGAGAGAGAGAGAGAGAGAGAGATTAATATCCACTCAACACAAACTAGATCATTTCTGCTGTAACATTTTTATTTCAATAATTTGCTTGCATGTAGAGGTCTTTAGAAGTGGGAGGAAACCGGAGGACCCGTAGAAAACCAACGGGGTTGGACAGACGCCCCTACTCCTTGTCATGTACAACCAGGGAATTGAAACCACGCCAGCTGACTCAATGACAGACCTTATGATACAGCGTGTACGCGCTAACCATTCGTCCATCCAACCCCCCACTTTGAAAATTTTTGAGGAATATTTTGTAGATATTTATGACAACATATGAACAGTCAATTTCATCAGATAAAGGTCACCGTCAGTGCAAAGATACATTTTGTATGGCAGTGATGCGGCCATTTGTAAACATGAATGTTATTGTTTAGTTTCATATCATAAAAAAGATCTTTACAAAGAAAATTCTGATCATGTGTTGAAGTAATTAACATAATTGATAGTTTTAAAAACTAGAACTAAAACAACATAAAAAAAATATCTTCAAGATATGTCGGTCAGCAGTGTAAAAGAATTTGTTGTATTTTAAAACAAGGACATTTACTTCTCTCAGTATAGTATGAGTTAAGTGCTTTATAAAGTAGGTGTCCTTTTAAGAAATACATAAATTTGATTTAATGTTGTTAGTCTATGAAACCAGAGAGAGGGAGAGAGAGAGAGAGAGGGAGAGAAGAGAAGGGAGAGAGAGAGAGGGGGAGAAAGAGAGAGAGAGAGAGTTTAACCGGGATTAACATATGGTTCAATTTTATTTCAAAGTTGGATAAGTGACCCTACTCCTTGGGGAATCGAAAACCATTCAGTTGACTCAATGACAGACCTTATGATACAATGCACACACACACTAACGAATTGGCCATCCAACTCCCGTGACTGAAACCTACAGTGAGAAATGAAATGAAATGGAGTTTAATGAAGTGCTATATAAATCCAACAATAATAATAATAAAATTTTGCCCTGACAGCAAGGCTGCAATCTACAATTATTTCAAATTCCATCTTTTAAGGGTCCTTTCACATGCACTCCAAATATGGGAGAATATTTTCATAATTGATATTGATTAAAGAAGATAGTTCTTTGTATGGGATGAAAAATGAAAAAAAAAAACGAGAGGAGCCACAATTTCATTTCACCAAATAGGTTTTATTTTTCAAGGGGGAGGGGGGGGGGTGGATGTCTGAATGGTAAGCACGTGCGTGCTGTATCATAAGTGCGTGTGTGTTGTATCATAAGGTCTGTCATTGAGTGAACTGGCGTGGTTTCGATTCCCGGTTGTACGTGACAAGGAGTAGGATCGCTTATCCAACCTCGTGAGTTTTCTCCGGGTCCTCCCACTGCTAAAGACCCCTACGCACAAGCAAATTAATGAAATAACATTGAACCATATGTTAGTCCCGAAATGACCTAGTTTGTGTTGAGTGGACGTTAAACCCCATTTCTCTCTCTCTTATATTACACCACATGGCATATGTCCGTCTTTATAAGCCTGGTTGGTTCAGACAAGTATTGCATTTAAGTTGGAGATGCATTATGTTGTGTTTGCTATAATAGTATAAATATAGATAATGAAAGGTAAATATATTGAAAGTTTCATTCAAATTACTTTATCGGAGCGAAGTTTTGACTGTTGGAAGATGTATCGTAGATTGTTTATTATCGTAACATCGGTATTGGATTGATTATGGGCTTAAAGATCCATCACTTAAAGATACATTATGGGAGACTAGATAAAGAGTTGACATTTCTAACTATAATAGTTAAAAACTAGATTATGTGAAGGGAATATGCTGAAAATTTCATTCAAATTGATCCACTATGAACCGAGAACTAAGCGGTTGAAATTTCCGCTGTAGTCTCGATTGTCATTATTACTGCTGTCACGATAATCAACAAAATCTCGATTATCCATTATTGCGTTGATTAAAATCATCAACAGACGTTGAACAGCAGATCAGACAGATGGCAAAATAATAGTTTATATAACATATGAAGCCAAAATAAAAACCTGCAGTTGGCAGATTTATCTCTTACACCCGGGACTGGAGAGCGCAGTGGACGCTTACGGCTGGCCCCCGAATCCATTCACTTGATTTGATATTTGTTTATTTGGTGCAATGTCTATTTTCTGTCTTGTCCGCAGGGTTATCTTGTAGATTACTATAAGGCATCTTTAATGTACCGAATAAAGTTATCGCTAAAACATTAAGTTTCTAATATGTTAAATTAGGTATTTTTGATGTTTTTATCTGAGGATATGTCATTAATAATCAGGGGTCTATTTATTTTTAATCTCATAAAGATATATTATTATCAATAAATGATAGAGAAAAAGAAACGAGTGCCAATATTGTATAGTATTCTACATCTAATTCAGACTAGGAGCTAAATCATTAATATTGCAATATGGTTTTTGCACGCAATAAACAGCCCTAGAAATCACACAAGGATCTCCCTGTATCTCCGGACATGCTGCGTCTGCTAAGACCTTAAAGGAGCTAAATCGCAAATATTTGGGACTTAGAAATTGACACAAATGGGTCGCAGCACGTATAATAATGTAATCTGATTGTATATAAACTGATTGACATTCAATCGTTTCTGATTTTTACTGTAATTTCTGATCAGTTATCTTTGGCGAAATACGCCACAAGTCTCATGTGAATGGCAATCTTTAGAGTCTGTTTTTTTCAGTCTACACCGATAGTATTTATTGTGCATGCTCTCCAGATAAGAATATGGCATCACTGTTTGACATGGCTTGTGGAACATATCTAGCCTCGTTCTTTGAGTACCTTGTTACAAATGGCGTTGAAACGCATCATGGTACACAATTCATGGTCTTAAATATTAGATATCAGAAGCCCATCTTTTCCTGGTAAGATCACAACATCAGTGTTGATTTAAGTTCACAAATAATTCATGTTTTCAATGTTGAAGACTTTGGATGATATTGAGTTAGAGACTTAGCTACTTTAAACTAGATACTCTGGATCCATTCACTTGTTTTAATATTTTATGTCTAGTTCTTGCCATGTCTGTGTCGTCCGCAGGTTTGTCTTATCGGTTTTGATTGTGTGTATAGCGGTCCTCCTGCTATCACTGTTAGGATTGTGTGTATAGCAGTTCTCTGCATTGGCCGAGAAAGTTCATCTGGAATTTCCGACTAATTTCCCCTTGTCAGTGGTGCAGAACGGAGGGCCTGACAAGGACAGCTGTCTAGTCCTTCGGATTAGACAAAAAAACGAGGTCCCATGTATACATTAGAATGCACGTAAAAGATCCCTTGGCAGTTGGAATTCGATATAAGAGTAGGCGATAGTGCCGCTGCCCAGGCAAAATTTCCCTCATAGCACACTGTATGGTGTATGCCCATCTTCATTAGCCCAGTATAGGAGTAAAAAGTAGGACGTTAAACCCCATTTCATTTCATTTCATTTTTGGTGTTCAGACATTGAATCACATGGTTTCCTCCTGTCAGTGGTGCAGGACGGAGGGCCTGACAAGGACAGCTGTCCAGTCTTTGGATGGGATAAAAAAACAAGGTTCTGTGTACACATTAGAATGCACGTAAAAGATCCCTTGGCAGTTGGAATTTGATATAAGAGTAGGCCATAGTGCCGCTACCTGGGGAAAATATTCCTCATAGCACACTTCATTAGCCCAGTCGGAGCAGAACAGTTAGACGTTAAACCCCATCTGATTTCATATTTGGTGGATAGTGTAGTGTATTAAAAAGTAGGCGGGGGTAAGGCATTGTTCATATTCGAAAAACTATTCCGATCCCCTTTTGTATTGGGGGAGTTGGATGGCCAAATGGTTAGCACGTTCGCGTTGTATCATAAGGTCTATCATTGAGTCAACTGGCGTGGTTTCGATTCCCTGGTTGTGCGTGACAAGGAGTAGAGAAGCCTGTTCATCCTGGTGGGTTTTCTCCGGGTCCTCCGGTTTCCTCCTACTGCTAAAGAAATGAGATTGAAATGAAATTGAATCATATGTTAGTACCAAAATAATCTAGTTTGTGTTGAGTAGATGTTAAACCACATTTCTCTCTCTCTCTCTCCCTCTCTCTCTCTATCTGACTGTTCATTGAGATTAATTGTATAATTTCTAATCATATTCTCAAATTGGATGGATGCCATCCTTGTTTAAAAAGGTTGTAAACAGTTGGCCTGGATTTTACACAAATGAGTCGCTTTAATGTGAGAAATCAGCATTGCTTTTGTCTCTAAAAGTAAAACAATTTGTGAGGTTACTTTCTCAACTCATTAAACACACATTTACAATCTTTTTAAAAGGGAGAAAAAATGTTGTGTTCTTAGGAAAAAATTCACGCTTTATTGGAATCAGAAATTTCTTTTAACTTCTAGGATATTTACTTATCGCATTCAGAGATTCATCTCACTTTCTTTTCTCTGTAGAAACGTTTGAGCAACTACCTGTGCCTGTGAATTCTCCATCAATAAAATTGAAGCCATCAACGGAGAAAACAATGAGCGGAACCGCGGAGGAGGGTAAAACACATGTTATAATTGCAGGGTGAGTAAATAAAATATATCTTTTACTCGTGTCTTTGTTGAAATATTTACTGAATATGTTATTTTCAATTAATTATTGAAAATGTAATGAAATGAAATGGGGTTGAATGTCCTACTTTTTGGCACTAACTGGGCTAATAAAGATGGGCATACAGCATGCAGTGTGCTAATGAGGCATATTTTGACCAGACAGCAGCACTACAGCCCACATTTTATTTCAAATTTCTGCTTTCAAGGGCTCTTTGCTCGCCATTGAGTACAATAAGTAAAGAAGCAGGGTGGCCTGTCCAACCGCGTGGGTTTTCACCGGGTCCTCCAGTTTCCTCCCACTGCTAAAGACCAAAGGTGCAAGCAAATTATTGAAATGAGTTTGAACAATGTGTTAGTCCAAAAATGACCTAGTTTGTGTCGAGTGGATGTTAAACCCTCTCTATCTCTCTGTCTCTCTGTCTGTGTGTGTGTCTCTCTCTCTTTGAAAGACTAGACACTGTTCCTTACCCCCCCCCCCCCATCCCCTTGCTTCCCCCTGGCCTGCACCACTGACAGGGTTGTCCAGGGTAGAAAAACCTGAGGAACTTTTTTGACCAACACCAAGATCAATCCTTAGACTGTTCTGTGAGCCATGTGAGGTTTTGATCTTGCAGTAGCAAGGGAAATCAATAGTTATAAATTGTCATAGAAAAATTACATTTTTCAAAAAACAAAAAAAGGCAATATGACTGGGATATGTAAGCCTAAATCAGCTGACATTTATGTTTTTGAGTTTGTTTTTTCAAGATCCAATCTTTTTGTTCCATTGTTCTTGTTTGGGGTTAGTCAAAGGCTTCTTTCCCGGATAAACCTCTGAGTACCAAACAAATAGCTTTTGGAATATAGGCGGTGAATTGCACGATCCAAAATGTGTTATGTAGGGCATACTTGACAATAGATGCATTTTTTTGTGCTCTGCTTTTTGATTAATGACAAAATGTTTAGCTTCATTTGTTTCTATTTCTTTTCCATCTTTTTACAGGTCAAGTCCATCACCAACATGGGCTGGAAAGAGAACAAAGTTGGAGGGTCTTCTGATCACATTATTAGCTTTATTAGTCATGGTTGTATTGGTACTGGTAGTGGTATTGGCAGTTAAATCTTCAAATGGTAAGACATTGTCATACTCTAAAAACTGTTCCTTTTGTATTGGGGGTGGGGGGGTTGGATGGCCGTATGGTTAGCACATGCATTGAGTCAACTGGTGTGGTTTCGATTCCAATGTTGTATGTGATAAGGAATAGCGTAGCCTGTCCAATCTTGTGGGTTTTCTCCGGGTCCTCCAGTTTCCCCCCACTGATAAAGACCTATACGTGCAAGCGAAGTATTGGAATACAATTGAACCAAGTTTGTGTCGAGTGGACATTAAACCCATCTCTCTCTCTCTCTCTCAAGGTCTCAGGTTTGCAAGTGTTGGCAGAGAAAGTTCATCAGGCATGGTGCGCCCTTGTCAATGGCGCAGCAGTCCTCTCTCTCTCTCTCTCTCTCTCTCTCTCTCCTTTTGTATTGGTAGCCTATTAGTAGTTGTATTGGCAGTTAAATCATCCGCTAATAACTATTCCAATCTCTTTATTTTATTTATCTATAAGTGGGTAGCCGTCCTCCTAGATTTCTCTCGATTAAATTAGTTTATATGAAAATAACATAATATATCTGACCACCAGAGACATGGAAGCGATTCAAGAGACAACGGATCTATGCAAGACAGAATAAATTCATAAAAAGTAGATCTTGTCCGAAAAATAAAAATGACCACCTTAATCAAATGTTAAAAAATAAATTTGAATAAATTTTAATACATTTAAGTCGTAAAAAATAGATCTTGTCCAAAAGATACAAACGACAATTAAGCCGTTTTAAAGATGTTGTTCTTTCAACGGTCTGACCAGATGGCAGATCAGTAAACACAACTGACAGTTTGATCCAAAGATTTTTACATGGTAGAGAGGTGATTACTGTAAAAGACTGGAAGTAATTAAATGAAGATAGGAAGTAGATACAATCATCCTGTCAATTAAGACATCTTAATTCTCTACTCATTAGACTGCTTGTGTTTATATTTTGTTATCTTTTCTTCCCCTCAAGGAATAAATAAACCTGCTGTTTCGTATCATAATAAAGATATCGACCAATATGTCGAACTTACTAGTTCGTAGAATCACTCAAATTGTTTGCTGTAGATTGAGAATTAGTTTGCTTTCTTTCTTAATAAATAATTAAAAAGGTACTGGTTCCACTAGTTTGTTGAAATGAAATGAAATGAAATAGGGTTTAACGTTCTACCTGGTCTTAAACTGGGCTAATGAAGACGGGCATACGCCATAAAGTGTGCTATGGAGGGAAATTTTGCACGGGCAGCGGCACTAAGGCCTACTCTTATATCAAATTCCAACTGCCAAGGGATCTTTTACATGCACCCCAATGTATTCCAGGACTTCAGTTTTTAGTCCCATTCCCTTGACTAGACATCTGTCCTTGTCAGGCCCTCTGTCCTGCACCACTGACAATCTGGATGAACTTTCTCGGCCAATGCAGGGACCGAACGTGCGACCTCCACGGTAGCGAGCCAGCGTCTTACCACTTAGCCACCGTGGCTCCGATAGTTTGTAGAATCTCAAAAGTTGTTGTTAGTTGCAGGGTGAAATTTAGCTATCTTTCTTTCGTAGAATCATGAAAATTGTTTGCTACAGTTTCTTTCTAAATAAAAAATTAAGACGATAATAGTAACATCGTGCAACTTTCAAGGAATGTGGCTCGCTAACGTGTGTTCTGTAAGTATTGGAAATGAATACAGATTCTTGGAATAGATCTTCAACAATTTATTTCAGGAGCAAATAACAGCAACAATTAAAAAACTTATAATTTCCTATCAATCGGACCTCCGACTAGTATATAGGTTCCCTAAGCTGGTCTCTCCAACTCATGAATCGTTTTAAATACATTTGTCTATTTATATAAATTAGTTACTATAAAAGGTGTTGACATAAACATATAATTATTGAAGGTTTAAGACTTAAGAGCGTGTCCGCGAGAAAACCATGCAGAAGGTGCTAAGGCTTCAATCACAGATTTTGACCAAATTTGGTTTATAAGTTGGGATAGTCCCAAAACACATAAATGTGCAATATTAGATAAATCTTTCAATTCCTGTATGAGAAAATTGAAAAAACATTTTTCATATGGTGAAATTGCCAAAATCTGTCTTTTCTCAAATACCAACTTTGGCAAGTCCTTACACCTTTACTATACGTAACAGAAAGACCAAACTCACACAGTTTATCGATGACTAGGTGCTGTTACCCCAATATTAACTTCAGACGATTCTGGCGAACGAGATCTGTATACGGACTGGATATCAAAGCCTGTCTAAATTCCCCATTTTTCGTCACCCAAAGTTTGACGCCCTATAGCTACTTCTTTCATGGGGTGGGTTTAAAAAATTTATGCTCACGTGAACAAGCAACCTCCTAACATTTGATACAAAAAGTAAAAATGACCGGAATCGACTTGACAAAAACTAGGTAAAGGAAACAATAACCCATGAAATTAACCTGTAATTTCCCTATTTTGGAAATAATTAACCGTAGTAGATAAAAAAAACCTAACAATTTGTTTTCCTTTTCATTCATATGGTGTTTACTACCAGCCCTAAAATACATTAGTATCTGTTTTATAAAAATATCTTGAAAAAAAATACTTTCAAAGGCCTGTAATCGTTCATGGCTCATCTGGCGTCAACGGGAATTGACTTCTGCAGTTGTTCACGACCTTCCATTGGAGTTTCGACGTGCTAAATCTTAACAAACATATCCATTACTCTCAAATAGACATTATTTTAAATAAAACAATCCAACGAAAATGAAAAATTCACCTAAAAGTGAGATTCGAACCACCAACCGCATGACTTCCCCCGACCCACCCTCTCAGCGAGTTGCTTGTCCCAGGTCCCCAAGGTCCATGTCGTGGGCCCTGTTCAGGGGGTTTGCCTAGGGCCTCTCTTATTCTAATTCGGCCCTGAAGGTGCAGCTGACGGTGCCCGAGAGCTGTAGCTACCATACTACACTGTTCAATGTCACCCACTTCGACGCAATTAGGCTTCGTTGCCGTTAATATTTAAGCTTCCACATTTCTGTATTGTAGAAATCAGTGGATGTGTCCCAAAATGAATAGTGGAAACATGCTCTGAAATTAAACATTTTGTAGCCATTTTCGGTAACTTGTTTGAAAATGAAATCTTAAAGAGACAATACAACAAATATGTTAAAGGGACAATACGACAATACCAAATATACAATAAATAGAAATACACACTTATATAGAGTACAACATGGTACAAATAATAGCTATGGATATGATGAAAACGTATAAAAGTCAAACATTTTATTTCTCTAATTAAATTCGCAAAAATGTATCACAAAAGCTTTCTTTTAGCACTTTTCAATAAGCTGTATATTTTAAGTATGTTGCATTCCGGTCATTTTTTTTACACCTATGGATACTATGTGCTTAGCACTTCAAAACCATCCAAAGAAATTCTACTTGCGACCATGAAAGAAAAAGTTACAGTGTATCTTTTTCTGCACTATAAGGACAATGTGAATATGGTACACTAAAACAAGTCCACACAAAATTAGTATGTACTGATTTTTTTCAAATTAGTGCTGGGGTAGAAGTTGACCACCCGCTTTATCAGACAGGGTCAAAATTAGAAGGTTGCTATTACACCATAGAATGCAGTCTGTGCTTAAAAAAGGTGATAAATACACATGTGAAAACCGCAATTTTACCCATAAAATGAATAATTCCTGTACAGTCCTTTAGAGCGACATCAGACTGTAACCACTTCAGCATGTTACCTTTTGCCCCTAGGGGGTGTCATACCATAAGTTTGATCAAAAACTGCCGACCCCCCATCTTAGCACTTAGCATTTAAAACAATAGTTAGAAGAAACATAACAGATCAACCACTTTAGTTGCCAGTCTATAATAATTGAAATTGACTGACAGATTAATTGCCGTCTGCCTATAATGACTAACCAAGCATTAATGAATATTAATATATAGATCCAAAATTAAAAACAGAATTAAAAAATAATAATATAACTTATGACCTACACATTGGTCATAGTAGTTCCACTAGCTTGTTAGTTCGTAGCTTCAGAGTGAAAATTAGTTTTTTTTCTTTCTAAATAAATAATTAGGAAGATAGTAGTTCCGTTTATATTAGAAATACTAATATTGTTAGCTGCAGAGTCAAAATTAGTTCATTCTCTAAATAAATAGTAGTTTGTTGAAACACTAATATTGTCAAAATTAGTTTATTTCCTAAATAAATACTGGTTTGTCGAAACATTAACATTATCAAAATTAGTTTATTTCCTAAATAAATAATTAAGTTAAGCAGGTAGATATATTGTATGTATGAGATATTTATTGTTTATATACACAGTAAATACACGCAGTAAATCTACACGTGCAATAACAAACTATTGAACGTTATTTTACTAAAGTGTCTGCGAGTGGATCAAATTCTACACTAGACATAGCATAATATTTATAGTTTAGTAGAGAACACCCAGTCCATCTCTATGTGTTTATAGTTTTTTTGAGAACATCCAGCCCGTCTCTATTTGTTTATAGTTTAGTTGAGAACATCCAGTCTCTCTCTATTTGTTTTTATATTCTGAAAACATTCTCCTGGATAGATTTTCTCCACAGGTGGCTGACACTTGTTGAATTTTATCCACATTAAATTACCAGTTGTAAGAGAGAGAGAGAGAAATGGGGTTTAACGTCCACTCGACACAAACTAGGTCATTTCAGGACTAACATATGGTTTAATTTTATTTCAATAATTCGCTTGTGTGTAGGGGTCTTTAACGGTGGGAGGAAACCGGAGGACCCAGAGAAAACCCACGAGGTTGGACCAGTTATAAGAAGATGATTTAGATATAGTTTTTCATTGGCTCTGAAAATATTATGGAAAGAATTTACTAATGAAGTTCTTGGCATTTCCATTTTTCATGTATATAAATGTTTATACTGAATGTGGGTTGTACTCCTTTGAAACTGAGCTGCGGTTGCTGAGAAAGCAATCTGACAAACACAGA